GTATTCATTTCTGCTCAGTGGGAGGTTTAAGCTCTTCCTCCTCCCACCTGTTGTCTCTCAGACTCCTGCCACCGAGCCACAACAGCCACCGACACACATTTCTGCAAGGCCACCAGCTTAAAACTGGCCTCTCATTAACACTGCAGACTCCCCCCGCCCCCGATGCCAGTGCTAATTGGGTCACTATTTACCCCACAGTCAGCACAACCTCACACAGACGGGAGGGGGAATCCAAGACCACCATCATGCTGTCCTAGCATATGCCCTGGTAGGCTGCAGGCACTGAGATTAGAGCAAAACAGGCACTTATTAATACTGTTAGTCACTCGGTGCCTGCAGGTGAATCATCCCTTCACCAGTATGACTGCACTGTAATCAGCAGCACACAAAGCTACATTTATTATCAACAACTCAAAAGAGGCAATATGACAGCCTTATATCTCCTCCCAGCTTGGATATCTGCATTACTTGCAGACACTTATGGTTGTCAATATGCAGGATATCTGAGGAGGCTGTCCCTATTTTTGGACCCAAGCCACAGATGAGGTCAGCCAGCCGTGAGCGCTCACACACACTGCTGGAAAAGAAGCCTCAGTATGGAGGCAGATAAGGCCTTGCTCAAATTGCTGTTTTGTGTTTTTTAACGAGGACAATTCAACCTTGCTAATCTGTTAGGCTCCTTCCCCTAATCAACCCACTGACTAATCCATTTTCTCGTGCCAAAGAGAGCCGCAGTTCAGCCCAGGGCCAAGCCACGCCGGCGCAACGAGGAGAGGGGGAAGACAATGGCACGTGTCCTGGACGAGGGAGAAAAAATAACAGACACGGCTCCATGAGGGAGTCTTTTTTTCTACTTCAGTGCACTTCCACCAACAGATGAGGAAGCTCACACTCTGTACTGCTCAGCAGCAAGCTAACAAATAACAAAGCTTTAAAGGCATACTCTCCTGATCTTGTTTGTACACACTGACTCTGAGGTGAGGAGATGGCAATCTAACTGCCACAGAGAAGTCCAGTACAGCCGACATAAACATTTATCAGTGCAGCCCCAACAGAAAAGATGAGTAATGCCTTATCTTCTGTATCGGCTGTAAAAATCCTCATATTTCACCACTTCCGATTGCTCAAATATGAGGAGTTTGACGAAATGACATTTGAAGATGTGAACTTAGATTTAGGAAATTGTAATGGGGAATTTTCTGGCATTTCCTTCACTAAATGTTAAATCCATTAAGACAGAAAAGGGAGGGAGAGTAATTAGCAAATAATGATTATCTACATTTTTTATTTTTTTGGCTCAGGTTTTCCTTAAGTAGTTTGTAGACTTGAACTATAGCAACATAATGATCTTATTTTATCAAAGCATAATTTATGTCGGCCTGGCATTATTTCCTAAAATTTGGCTCAATGGGTCATGCTGGGTGTATGCTTGCTTGCAATTACCAAAATGGCCAATCAGTGCTGCTAATTTCAGTCACAATTGTTTGAGAAGCTGCGGGGACCTTGCACTTTGAAAACCAACAGAAGCACAATACAAAGCCACGTTACAGGAACCATGCCAGGCTGAAATCAGCTACAAACACCCTTTATAATAGTATTTATCAACCCAGAAATGCTTTATTAGGAGACTGACTTTAGTACGTACCAATTTCTCTAATTCTATCACATACAATTATAATGTTTGTACTAGAGATGGCACGATACCAGTTTTTTATGTCCGATACCGATACCGATATCATACATTTGGATATCTGCCGATACCGATATGAATCCGATATAGTGTTTTTTAATCAACAAAACTGTTTTTTAAAATATCTTGCTGCATTTTGCAAGTCTGCAAGTTCATACTCA